CCCCCCCGCATGAGAGCACTTGCATCTCATTTCACCGCCAAATACTGTTCTCCCGGTCGGCGAAGAAATAACGAACGAATCACATGGTCTGCCACTCAAGTGCAATGTGGCCCAACAGGACGACTGCACAGAAAGCCCACGTCAACCAGACATGCGTGCAGCAAGACTGCATCTTTGTTTGTAAATGTGAAGAAGCATATCCCTTGAAGCTCCTCTTGAAGTCAACTTCTTTTTCTGCTTTTTTTTTTTACTTCTTGCGAGTGGGGTACCTTTTATCCATGTGCCGGTCCCAAGAAAGAGCACGAATAGGTGGGGCAGCAGGGAGCAGCCAGCAACGCATGGAGAATGCTGGTGAGGCAGTGTTGGCGTCTTTTTACCCCATTTTCCGAGAGCGCAGATNAGCAGCCAGCAACGCATGGAGAATGCTGGTGAGGCAGTGTTGGCGTCTTTTTACCCCATTTTCCGAGAGCGCAGATAATCATTAAGGTTAAGAGGAAAGGACTCTGAAACACAAAAAAAAGAAACGAAGCCATGCCGCCCCCGCGTGCTTGTCAGTGGCTTTTTGTTGCTTCCGTTGGTGTTTTCCCTCTTTTTTTTTCAGTGGTTTATTTCAAAAAGCGTTGCTATTTCTCTTCGCTGTAGTGGCTTGGCTTGTCCTTATCCTCACCCCCATTTAGATCCTGCCAGGATTTTGCATGATCCTACCACCCCTGCTCACGTTTCCCATTTTATTTTTTCCCCCCTTTTTCCCCATTTCTGCCGCTCCTTTGTATGCATGTTCGCAAGTGTTGCTCACTTACTCAGTCTGTCTCGGGTCCCCACCACGATGTTCCTGCGATGCCCCGATGGGACCAAATCTTCTTTGTGAGTATGCTTTTGTCCTTTCCTTGTCTGACCGCCGATGCCACTCTTGCTCTATCCTTGTTGGGCGAGGTGAGAATCCGAATACGCACGTCACCTCTTGCCACTTTTGCGTTTGTTGTCTTTCCTTAGGTTACGCTGTCATTTTCTTTTTTCTTCTTGTTGGCGGGGTTTAACACTTATGTTGAAGCCTTCTTCTTACGGATGTACTTCACACGGCATTGGCTAAGAGTTGGGCCCACAACCATCGTGTGATAATCGGGATCCGGTACCTCGTCTTGGAGCAGCTGGAAGTCGTATTCGCGGAAGGCTGTGGCGAGGACTGTTTTGACCTGCAAAAGCCCAAATTTCTGCCCAATACATTTGTGCACGCCAGCACCAAATCCGACGAAAGCGCCCTCTATCTGTTCTTGGCGTTCTGGGTTCCACTCGCGTGGATTGGGGAAGGCATCCTCGTCATGGTGTGAAAGTAATGGCGAGCAGCCAATAATGTCACCCTTAGGGACAACGTAGGGGCCGACCTTGACGTCCACCATCACTTTGCGCATGAGCATGATGAGCGGGGGGTCACGGCGAATTGACTCCCGGGCGCACCGCTCGGCAAATGGCATCTCGTCCATGACGTTGTCATAGTTCAGCTGCGCAGGGAACTCGTCAATCTCCTCGTGAAGTTTGTCGAGGTGCTTCTTGTTCTTGGGATGCATAAGATGCAGCATTGACCACGTAGTCGTGATGGTCGAGGTGTGTTGGCCAGCGAACATGGCGGCAACAATCATGCCGCACACTTCGTGGAGTGACATAGGTGTGCCGTCGCGATAAACTGCTTTAAGAAGGCCAGCCAGAAGATCAGAAGTGTTGTTGTCCTTGTTCGCCTCTTCTTTCTCGCGGGCAACGATGATTTCACTCAAAATTCTCTGCAACTCCGCACGTGCCTCACGGCAGCGGGCGGAATGCGGCAACGGTAGCCTTAGCACCCATGGCACGAACACGGCCGCAGGTATCAAACTGCTTTCCATCTTTGCAAGAAGTTGTGCAAACTGCCGAGCGTCGAGACGCTTGCGGAGATCCTCGCCGAAAAGACATTGACAAGCAGTGTTAATGATCATGGCACTGCAATCCTCGAGGATATTAATTTCGCCCTCATCCTTGTTCCAGTTCTCCGCCATGAATTTTCGAACCTCGTGTTGAATCGCCGGAACAAAGTTTTGGAACTTGGCGATTGTCAGCTCCTCCGCGAGGAAGTTAAGCTGTTCCCGCATTCGCGGGTACGGCGCAGCGTACGCGACGCCCTCGCCGAACACAGGCACCATGAAGCTGTACACCTCACGCGGCGAAAGTATCTCATTGCGCGGAAGGAAGAAACGGCTGTGCTCACGTGGGTCGCCAACAATAGTCACACGCTTCCCCACAATGTTCATTGTGAAGACGCCGGATTTAAGTTCACGCTTGCACTTCTGCATGAAGCCAAGCGGATCTTTTCCAAACGGCACGATGTGGCCCAGGAATGGCACCTTCACAGGGTACACCGGGGGGTCCGTTGGGCGGGTGGTGTTGAAAGACTTGATGAAGTACACAGTGTACAGCGCGAGGGCTGTAAGGATGAACACAATGGCTTCAAGAATCATTTTGGTCGCTTCTCTTTCAACTCGTCTTTAACACCTGCAAATGATTCAACCTCCTTTTTTGTTGTTGCTTTTCTTTTTTTTTTTTTT